TATGTAAACTTTATTTTTACTTCCCTTCTCCGTCCACCACATCAATATTTACTCACTCTTTCTCTCGGTGCGCATAAAAGTAATTCGCGGAAGAAAGTGAAATAATTTGTCATACTTTTTTCGTGTATAACCGGAGCTCTATATAATATTTAATTTTGTCGGACCTGCTGACCGATTTTCGGGCATACCACCGCCGCGGTGGTCATGTCTGATTGTTCGCATTGTCAATAATTGAACACCGTAGAGGTTTTGCGTGTTCTACTTGGAATAGAAACACGCCGGACGATTCGATGCGAACAACCTACAACATCCGTTGATGGCTAATTGAAGCAGACGATCGAGAAAAACCGATATTATAAGTGCTTATCATCTGTTGTAGCATAGGCCAACTTATTATGTTGTACAGATATAGAATCTTACTCGAAAACACAGTGGAAACAAAACCACGGTTTCCGCTGTGCGAAATATCGTCTATATAGAATCGTGCGTCCAGATGATGAGCAATAGTCGGCCGCTGGTATGATCTGACCTAACCAAAAACGAAATTGAGTGTTCGTTTCAATGATGTTCGAAACCAGAACAGATTAATAATTACCAGTTGCTATTTAATATAGCTAATTTACCTTATTGTTTACGTTCGAAACGTTTAAATTTTTAATTTTTTCTTACCTATTCATTACTATTGCGGGTATCCGTATAATACGTATAATAACAAGTGAAGTCTGTATATCAGTATAGATGACATCCATTGAACTTTTAACACTTCATCAACCCTTATATTACCATATATATATATATATATGTGTGTGTGTGTGTGTGTGTATGTGTGTTATCGTTCCATAGATATTGATAATAATACGTACTCAGATGAAAAGCTTGCCTTTGATTGTTCTAAACGCCACCGAAGAGATACTGAAATTACGTGTCGACAGCGATAAATACAAAACATAGTGGGATGGCAAACAGCGATTCTCACAGGAAATTACCCCTAACCTTACAGACAGTAGGTGGTTGTGGGTTAGATTATTCGAGTTAGATGTAGACAATTTTGGGTGGACGGAGGGAATATTTAGAGTTGCCTCTGAACACATTTAAGCTCACCTGCACCACTGACAAATCATATATAACATACGGTTCCTATTTAAATATATATTGTTCACTGTCATAATTATACAGATCACTGAAGTCGAAAACCTCATTACTCATGATGGATATTGTAATAATATTAATTATCTCACCCATCTACCGCGAATATGATGTTCAAAAGTATATATATGTGTCCCAAAACGTGTTACTATCGGGCGAAAGCGACCCGATTTTTATGTACGCGCTAGCTCGTGTAGCTTGCGAGTCGCAAAAATGACTTTATAATGTCATTATAATTATTATAATCATTATTTTAACTACCCTAACCTACACCAATATTTATAACGATACACTAGTGCGCAGTTTGGTGATACGAATTTTTATTCATATTTCGTTGTACACCTACACGTAAAATATTTTACTATGCCCACTTTAATGCCGCACGCGGCATGCGCGTTTTGTACACGACTACATTATAATATCAGATACGTAGTATAATTACTAAGTATACGATGAATTATTACTCATAGGAAGACCTACTTTTGACTATCACGATTCCGAAAGACTAGAAAAAAAATCAAAAAACACATGTCCGCTATTACTGCGCAGTTCCATTCGAGCCATATTGTATTTTATAGTTGTGTTACCGGTAGTAATGATGTCCAGGAACACTTGTAGACGGTTTTTGTCAACAGCAATAACGATTCCCGGGCTCGTCGCATTATAAAACATTATTAAAATACGCGTGTATTTTTCTTGTATCTTCCCCCGAGCCCGGAATAGCTACAACTACATAGAGATGGAACTAGGAATTTTTACGCCCGGGAAAAATGTTAAAATTACGCTCTATCATTGACCAATAATAAAATATTCATCTCGAGAATTTTTTTTCTAATAATCAATATGCAATGATACTCGCTGAGTTTTATCCTAATATCAGTGTTTAACAAAGTTAAAAACATCAAATTAGTTGTTAATAACTACAAAAATGTTACGCCCAGGGATGAATCCCCGTCTTCCGCTCCCTGGTTCCGTCTCCGCTACTATATCGATGACCATGTGCACGATGACGGTCTAGTGCTGCTACTATTACTATTTACCGCGTGAACGAAAATCGCACGTGATATACCAGTTGTATATAGTTACAGTATAGTTATACTATAGTTATAGCACACCAGTTGTCAACGCGCCCAGACGAAATACAATATGATATTGTTATTCTGGCAATCTGTCTGGGGATTATGTGCGGCGTATACATTAAACGTAAATATGTGCTAGTGTGCGTTTAGATTTACGTACACACGCACTAAAGTCGACTGTATCCGGCTTCTTTGGCGTCGCCGTCGAAATAACGAAGACAACCGCACACACGCACACAATGAGCGCGTAGCCGTGACGAGATGTGTTTAGTGGGTCAACGTGCTACCTGCTGCCGAGCACGACAAGGTAAAAGTGGTTTTTTTTTTCTTTCATCTTTCTTTCGTTCTTTCTTTTTTTTTTTTTTGTTCCCGCATCACGTCCGACGAAAATAACGCACAATATCCATGCACATCGTAATATTATCTGTACTGCAACGCACACGACGCGCAGGCGCACGCGAATCGATATGAATAAGTGTATTTTATTTTCAACTCGCCGAACATATGTAGAAAAAATGTTTTCGGTTTTATACGGGATTCTGTGCACCAGCAACAGCGGTAAGTGTCCCGCTGCTATCGACCTCGTCAACATAATATTATCGAACAGTCGTCGACCGGCCTACCGCTTTTTTGTCCGGGTGTGATGTTTAATTAAAACTCGCTATTATAATTTATAATGTCGTTAAAATTATAGTTAAATCGCACGGAATGCACCGTGCCCAAGGACTCGGCTTTGGAAAATGTATCCAGCGAATTTTTCGCACAGACTATTGCCCGGCCGAGACTCTTAAACGTGGTGGCGGTGAGTGTGAATTCGGCACGGACCGAAGGAACGTGCAGCCAACCGAATCGGGGTCACCGTGTTGTTTTTATCTTCATTTTCGTGGCGGTCTCTCGCTCGCTCACGACCGAATATCACATGAATCGCAAACGTTGTTTGCACACCAACGACGAGTGCACGTACGCGCACACGAAATGATAAATATTAATCGTTCGTCGTGAATCGAAAAATATGTTCTCTGCGCCCATTACCTGTTTAATAGTATAATAATATAGACGCGACAGAGATTTTTAATCGTTTTTCTTTCCGTGTACGTCGTACTACATATAATGCTATCTTCTACACAGTACATCGTGTGCCACCAACGTGTTGCCAAATAAAGGAAATAATTTTACAAATATATATATATAGTTCCATATATACGTATATAATATTACAACAGATTTCTGTATTTTTTTTTTTTTTTTTAATAACACACACATAGCTAAGAATCGGAAGACGGTATACCATTCCAAAAATTATAAATCATAAAAAACTATAATATCGTCATTAAAAAAACACTTGTTGATGATTATAGTTTACGCAAATATTAACTTAGACCTATTACTTATTACCATACAAATTATAATATAATATATTTTCATTTATTGTATAAAAACAAATCAAGAACCGGTAGGTCTAACAAAAGAAAAACGATAAACATGCAATTTTAACCTTAAAACCATTACAGCAATAAATTAACGACTATTGAGATATTAAATACTATATATGATTATTAAAAAAAAAAATTCAATGAATACAAAAATAAGCTAAATAAATTAAATACAAATAAATAAATACAAAACAAAATAGGGTCGTCTAGGTCGTTTGAAACCAGAATGCATTCAAGTAGCACATGAATACAACATGATATTTTTCATACAATATATTAACTCATACAATTTCTTTCAATATTTAAACTACGACAATTTGCTATAAATAACTTATATACAACAGCATAAGTAATAAAGTGATTCGTGAAACAAATTGCAAGTGAATATAAAACTACTCAATGCTAAAATTAACATTACAATGTATAAGGGTGTTCTCCGACCGAAAAAAATAAATTAATAAAAAGAAAAAAAACTATTTCAGTTGAATGAAGTTTTTTTCGTATTTGATCAATAACCAGAACAAATAAGTACAGACAGGTAAGCGACAAAGAACACCGAATAAATAACAAACAAACAAAACAATAATATAAATTAATTGTATAAACAACGTACTTCCTGTTAACCAGTGATCGCTATTCACACATACACGTATAACTTAAACAGTATGATAATAATAATAATTATTAATAATAATAATAATAATAATAATAATAATAATGATAAAATAATGATATTACAAATAATAAATATAATAAGAATGATAATAAAAATAATAATAATAATGATAATTATTATTATTACTAAAAAACAATGATTTTGTACTTTTTTTAAGCCACTAATCGTTGCCCACATCTTTTAATATTTTTATAAAGGTCTTACAACAATATTTATTGAGATTCAAATATCTCCTGGAAATTGAACGGCTTTTTTCGTAATCGTAGTTGCTACACATTGTACACCGTACAATTAATAAAATGCATGTAACGAATCTTAGGGAATGACTATTGAGAAATCAACCAGTGTTTCATCGAATTCAATATGAAATGGTAATGATCGGAAAAAAATTAATATAAATATAGAAAAATAATGAAATATTATTATATTAGTAATAGTTTTAAAAATAAAATATAATCGAATATTCAAATCTTTGGTCAAATGTGACACAGTTTTACCTATACATCGTATTGAACTGAGTGGAAGTAATGGGTGCAATCTGTATTCGCCCGATACTCGGTACACAAAAAAAAAAAAAAAAAATAAATAAATATAATTCAAATATATCGTATCGAATATACGGTGTGCGGTTCAACAACGGCAGCTTGCGGCGAAAAAAAGCTTTGAGTGTGTGGGGGGGGGGGTTAGGGAGGTATGTAGAATGCGGAACGATAACGGAGGTTGCCGGTGGAGATAGAGTGAAATAACGAAAACAATAAAACACATTTTACGCGCGTGTCGACAACGTAACGTGATGTAAACGTAATATTTGATACCTGCATTTTTCGCGGTGTTCTGTGCGAAGAGTTATTCGACGCAGGACGGGTGGCGTAATGGAAGGACAGTAGAGCCCGGCGAGAAGGACTGCGCAGTGCACCGTGTAGTCGGTCGCGGCTGCTCAATCCCTGCCGCTCCGTTTGTGTATCTGTGCGTGCTTGATAAGATGAGCCTTCTGCCGGAACGCTTTCTGGCAAACCTCACACCGGAACGGTTTCTCGCCCGTGTGCGTGCGCAGGTGAACTTTGATGTTGCTCTTGTTCAAGAACCCGCGGTTGCATATGTGACAGTTGTGCACCGTTCGTTCCCTGGCCACGTTGCCGTCCGAACAGTATACCACGGTGCTCCTGGCGGTTGACCCACTCCCGCCTCCTCCGCCACCACCACCACCTCCGCTACCCTTGGTCTTGCCGCTCCTGTTGCGCGACTTTTTCGTCACCATGTGCGCACCCTGACCGGGTGTAGTGGTGTGCGCGAACTCGGGCGATGGCCGCGAGCTGTGCACCGCGGCCGCGGACGGCAGGTACCCGCCTAGGTCGGTGGTGCTGACCACATGGCTGGTCGGGCTGTGCGCTAGGTACGACGGGGTGGACGACGAAGGTGACGACGCACAGTCCATGTGATAGCTGCCCGCGTCTTGCAGCGGCGCCTTGTTGGCCGGCCCGTTTTGCAGACGGCTCTGCAACAGTGGCATGAACGCCGCGGCCGCTGGACGGGGTGCCGACGGTGGTACGTTGGACGTGACCAGCTCGCGGGGTGGCTGCTGCGGCTGCTGGTACATGTTTGGCTTCTGCTGCATGGATGGTGGCTGCTGATGGTAACCACCCCCACCACCTGTGCTCGCTCCGCCACCGGTGGCGCCTGTACCCACGCCGTTAGGCATGCCAGGGAACTGTGAACTGGCCACCAGGTCGTGTATGGTGACGTCGGCCAGTATGCCGGACTTACTGTCTTGCGGTGAGCCATTCGGGTGCTCGTACGAGGCCCACTCATCACCCACGCTTAGCCACTCGTCCGGCCCGTCCACGGCCGCGTGGTCACCGCTGGCCGTCACTGTGGTGTCTGGACCAAACGACGGACTGCCCATTAGCATCTCAAACTCGTCGAACTGATTGTCGACAAACGTATCCTCCTCTTTGAACTTGGTCAGCCCCGAATTTGTGGATGACGTGACCAGGTATTCGTTTTGGTAGTACATGTTGTTATTGGCCGTGGCCGTATTGTTGTTGTTCTCGGCCACCCGGTTATTGGACGCGATCGACTGGTAATGGTGGCCCGGTATACCGTTGATATTGACGCGCTCAGTGATCGTGTGGAACGGCATCAGCGGTTTGAGGTCGGCGAAATTCGAAGCCGGCTTCGTATTAGGCTGATCAACGTTGTTCGGCTGCTGTTGCTGGTGATGATGGTGGTGATGACCGTGGTGGTGTTGTTGTTGCGCGGACACTACGATCGGTGAACCGTCGGCAGCGTACTGATCGCGTCCCAATAGATCGTCCAGCTCCGCGGGGTTCAACATGAATTTAGCACCATCCTCGTCCAGGAAATGCTCGTTAAACTGCAACATTTCCACCATTGAATCGGTAGTCCCTTCGCTGCCGTTGGACAGCCGCATTACGGGGTCGCCGCTCGTCTCCGCCCTCAGCCACTCGGGATCCAGTTGGGGTGGTTCTACAGACTCACCGCCCCGACAGACACTATCATCCAGCACTCCTGCAACGAAAACATTCCCATACGTTAACACATTAAATAATATGGTACCATGTCGTAGGTTTTGCAATATACAAAACATCAATAATTAAAAACTAATAACGTCTGGTTGAGTGACTGTTATTGTTATTTTTTGATTATCAATGTATGGTGATTTTTAAAAAAAGAAAAATTAATAAAATAACATTACGCTACGCCACAGTGAATTTACAATAAAATTATATGTAAATATTATGATGAATTTATTAGTTAACTTGTCTAATTCTTATTTATAAAAAGTATTATAAATTATTAATTATTTTCAATATTATTGTGTATTAGTGTATTTAAGATTTTTTCTATAATGTCAGTCCATACACGCAGCATTTCAATTTAAATCAATATACTATGAATTAGATATAATGTAATGGAGAGGTATTGTAGAAGCGGCATTAGACCTTAATGGTCTGTTTCAAGCCTAAGAAGATGAAGAAAAAGGTACTATGAATTATTGATTATTACAAATATTATAAAAATACTAAATATAGTACATTTTGTATGGATAATATTATAATATAATATAGTATAATGTGAATTTAATAAAATAAAATATGAATAAAATTATTATCCATTAAAGTTTGTTGATGATTGATTTTTTTTTTGTTTTGTTACGTTTGTACAAGAACGTTACAATGAAATAGTACTAATAATACTAGCGTACTATTATATTTATAATTCAGGTTTGGATCAAAAATAAATATTTTTCAATTTTTAATTTCACTAAAAATTTATTTCAATTTTATTTGCAAAAGAAATACGTTTAAATAATGTGTATCTAATTATTTAATTTTCGATAATATCTTTAACTCTTTCAAGTTTTATATTTATTAATAATAAATATGGATTCTAACCTAGTACACTATCAAGATTTTATTCAAAAACAAAGTATAAGTCAAATATATAATATAAAAAAATTATTATTATGTGTACACGTATACTACAAATGAGCTACAAACAAATTCAAATACATCGGTACAAACATTTGAAACTTACTATACTATATTACAAATATTTCGAATTCAATGCTTTTTTACTTCAACAATCGTTGTAACCTGATATTTTTGAATTTGTATGAATGTGACCATTATATTTAAAACGTATTTTATTAATCCCATTGATGAATGGTTTTACGAGTTGTGACTAACCGTGCTCTTCTGTGTAAATACGTGTACCATTAGGTATATTTAACAACAACTCCTCGTCATATTAAATTTTTGGCGGCGGCACAAAGACTAACAGTTGTGGTGGTCTATTGCTTTTATTGTAATCAATTTTACAATACACTACTTATGTATTTATACGTATATGTATATATTTGAATACTTGGAACAGGTAGGAAGTAGTCAAAGAAATCGTTATATTATATTTTGTTTACTTACCAAGATTATTGATTCCTAAAATGTATTTATGGAAAATATTATTTTTTTACACAGCATCTATAGCAGTGGTAGATTTTGCGGCAACAAATTATGTGAAAGTCTTATGTCCTCGTTAGTATAATGTATTGTGAAGACAATTTTTTTTTCCATAACAGAAAATTATTTCTTTTGGGCTTGTGTTTTATAGTAATATAGTTATTAAAAATAATTGGGTATACATTTGTATTACAATGTATTACAATTATTACTTTTAGATATCAACATTTAAAATACTATTAAAATATAAATATACTTCGTATACAAAAATAAAAATTATTGATTATTCTAATAATACATTTTAATTTTGTACTTAAATTTATAATTTATATCACTTCAATTAATTCAATACTTAAAAAAAATCATAAATTCGTAAAGTCGTTTCAATTATTCTAATTTATAATTTCCAAATTATTTTAATTTATTATTTATAAATTAAAACAAAATACAAACTCTTTCTATTAATATAATTAATAGCTTTGAAATAAAGCAGTACTCATTAATATTTATACTTGAACTTGAATACAAATATTATTACCTACTTACTATATTATATTTTTTGTGTATTCAATTAAATATATTATTTTTTAATTACGTTATTTTTAGTAATAAGAATAATCTACTGACCCAGATAATATTTATAGCATTAGTAACTTAATATTTAGAGTGATTATGTTAATTAGAATTTATAAGGTTCATATTAGTAAAACGTTTTATAATTGTACTCCGAAAAGTAGGTCTACCATGAAAATTAAATTTATTCAGGCGTAAAAAAAAATAATCTTTTAATACACCATTATCAAAATAGTAATAGTGGTATTTGATAGATTTCAATAATCATTTGACTCGAATACACTGGATCGCATAATATACGTAAACGTTTTTATAAGATATTATATTATAAATTCTTATAAAATGTACTTAAAATTAACTAAATACTTGAAATTCATTTGGTTTAGTAACACTTTTAAAGAAACTATTGTAGTAAACATGCATCTGTATGAACTATAAGTACTTGAAAATTATAATATTCATGTATTTTATTTTATTTTCAATAATCTAAATTTCTAGTTTTTATTAAGTGGTATATTATTATGAATATCGACTTACTTCCAAGAATCGGTTGGAATTTGTGGTTTGTGAGGACCGACACAGTGCTTGTCGTCGTCTGACGATTTCATCTCGACCGATGAAGCACCGACATGTACGAAAATCGCATAATACCTAGACTGTTGGCTACCAGCGGTTTTAATCGGTGACGATGGACTGTTTTGAATATCGCTCCGTATATCGGACCGATGTGTCTGGTTTGTGGCTGCTGCAGTACGTCGATAATGGTAACGGTCAAATTCTACCCTGAAGTGCACCAACACAGACAGCAATGACAAAAACAAAAAAAAACACAAATATATGCCAATTGTACGTTAAATTATATATAAATATACATACATAAGGAAAAAATTAAGAAAGCGTTAGTTTGCAAATACTATGGTACTATATTATATTAGAGTGTGTACACTCTAATATAATATAGTTAGCATAATAATATATTTGCAAAAATGTAAAATAGTTTCGCATCCGAAACCAAAAAGTTTGTTACCAAAGGCATTTCAAAAGACAAAATAAGGATTGAATTCTGTTTAAACAGATATATTTAATTCTAATTATCAAGCCGTTATCACCATAAATAATATTATTGTTATGATGTTTACTGTTGCAATTAATACATAAGTGGTAAACAAGTATCCAGTAGCGCACACAGGGGGGGGGTTAAGGGGTTGTAACTCTCCCCAAAATTTTTTCCGATGTCTAGGTTAAAATTTACAAATTTTACATGTTTGAAATACGAAGAGCTAGTATTGAATACCTAGTATCATTGATTATAGAATAGTTTATTCTATTATCATTGCTATTATTTAAGTCAAAATATATTAAGGATTTGCATAATTTTGTTAATTGTATAATGTGTTATATTTTACCTTGACCCCCCGAAAAAAAATTCTGTGTGCGCCACTGCAAGTATCAACCGAGTAATAGAAAAATGTGGTTCCATGTTTATGAAAGCATTTATTAAAATTTATTCAGTGAATACTACCATATCACAACTATTCGTTATAAAATAGCTGAACATTTTGGTATGATGTATGAAATAAAGTTAAAAAATCTTTTGACACTTGATCACTTATGTCTTAATCGAGTAAAACATGTCTACTATAAAAATGTATAGTAATGTATAGAATAAATAAAGTGTTATGCTTTTGACCGAATCAGAGTATATCGTTCAAATACCTTAACAATATATACATAAATGTAATGAATATAAAAATAATATATTTTGTATGTATATTTACAACGTAAATACTCGAGTCACCTATAGAATTCAATCAACTTAACTCATTTTATAATGACGACACATGTGTTTAGATCGTTTTTATTAAACATGCTTATATATGTATATATATATATGTGTGTGTGTGTGTGTGTATATTGATTCTTCGACATAATTCGTATAAAATGATAACCCGACGCATATTTATTCGTACGAAACGGATTTTATTGAAAGAAGAGATACCTCCGCGCAGTCGGCGATCACTATTGTCGGATAATTTTATAGGAGGATAAGAGTGAAATATATATACGTAGTATCCACGGAGTATCTTAATCCGCTTACAAAACGGTTCACAACGACCACGGCGATAACAGCAATATCAACAACAATATGTAATACAATAAAAAGGTTTTGTCACGGATCGGGTGCAAACATTAACAGTATAAACCGCCCACTGCGTTATGGGCATGGGCGACACACGTAGGTATATACATTATGTGGCGAAAACCCAACCGGGTATAATAATAATAAAAATAATAATAACAATACGTTCATATATATATATATAAATATCAAATAGACCAGAACAATATATCCGATCGGACGACAATGTGATTTTCGTTGAACACGTGCAATAATATTATTATTATTAATGCTACGGATTGCTGCTGCCGCACATTATTGCGGTACAAAATAATTTTACAACGTCTGGTCGGAGACCAACCGTATGCGTAACATTAATACCCTTGAAGCGAATAATGACGTATACACCACACAAACGCACACACACACACACACACACCATGTCTGTCGTCACCAACGCACCACCACCGCTGGGTACGGGACAAGTTTTACGGTAAACCGATGGAGTGTAGCTAAAGCTATACGCATATATGTCCCTACTAAGTATACTATTACTTAATCCGTATACATTTACGGGAACACCCCGATGTTTCGCGAAAATAATTTGAAAAAAAAGTTTGTTGTAAATCAACAAATATTTTGCTACTACACGCATTGGTGCGCACCTCTGGTGCGGGCTACTCGATAAGTCCCTCATCACGATCGGTCGGTTGTGGCTTGACCCAATTCCCCCGGTATTAATCGTTCATAATATATTAATACACACAATACACAGTATCTGCGATAATATAGTCAACGCAGCGGTATCGTCATTTTTCCATATGAGACATCCTGCCCCGCACACAAACCTAATTTTTATTTTATTGTTCTTTTTACCCGAAAATTTGTAACGGTACGGATTATTTATGTTTACAAGTGGCCATATACATTCGTAGGGTGGTCTCTACCGGGTTCGCTACTCCTGCTGTGCAGTTACACACTTACACACATGGTGCACGTATAAACATGTGTGCGTGTGCGTGTACGTCCGTAACGGGATAATTTGTCTACAAGTGTCTACAGTGGTGGTGTGGATATTTGTTGTGTGTATATTTGTGAGTAGTGTGTGTGCGTACGCGTTTGGTATAGTATACAGTTCGTTATAAACCGAAGGACACCATACTAACACACGCAGATAGAAAAGGAACAAATAACAATTCTATATATATATATATAAATATATTATAAAATATTTCGTTATGGATTCGTGAAGAATTTCGATGTGTACGCGCCGTTCTAAGAGACCTTAAGCTTCGCGGCGTGTACACACCAATACCAGCGAGTGTATAAATGTCTAAGGCCATGCAGACGTTATACCAAACGATTCCCAAGGTTCAAAGGGTCTGCAGTAACACGTTGATATTATATAGTATCAGTGTATTATACGCTTCATGCGCAATTGATCAGACGAGAAAATTGACTTGATGGTTTGTCTATACACTGCCAATAAACATGTGTCGTAACTAAATAATTAGACATTGAGACAATACAAATAACCTGATGAGGTTGACAGACACCATTATTTTGCCTTGAGTAGCCGAAAACCACTAAACCGTTATTTTTACTTTAATTTTTTCTTTTATTTATCCCAAATTTGATACCTATCGTATACACAGAAGTTAGTGTGGTATACATAGTACGAGTATGTTCAAAAGAAAAATATACTATTCAATTTTTTTTTTACACGAAAAATCGTTGTGCCAGGTACAATTAGTGCGAAATTGACCCGAAAACAATATTTTTCATATGACGACATAAGACGACGTCAGTGAGTCAGCTACATAAGTTACATAACCCTTTGGACATTCCAAACTATACACAACACCTCTCATTGTACGCTACTGTGAATAATAAATTCATGAACAGTGTAATTTTTTTCTTTTTATCAATCTAGTCCGGTTTTCAATTATCTGATTCTTACGCGTTATAAAGTATTCATGATTTTGACGACGTCGTTATTGTTTAAAAATAATTTTCGGCATTGAGTTGAATATATTTTTATCTATTATATTATAATATATGCATATATATATAGTTACCTATACTTAAACGTACCTAATATATAAAATATTTACATATTAAGTACCAATATATAATACAAGTGTTTGTACGAATATTTTTGAAAATATATAGGTCAAATGTGTATACACAGACAGTGCGACGAGATGTTTTCCACTAACGAATAAAGATTTTCATCGTTTTACAAAAAAAAAAACACTCCTAAAACGGTTTGTTAAATGCATATAGATGAAATAATAGTCTAAATAGAATGATTAACGAATGTAAAAAAAAAGACCGGAGACAATGACACGATACGCCGACGCCACAGAGTTGTCACCAGTCATCCGGACAATCGATTGCGGGGAAAAAATATAAAAAAAAGATTGAGGGAAAAAAACATTGACCCACTTGTGGGCCCGTTGAATACAGCTCAACCGTGAAACAGCCCAGATATGAATTGCCATAAAGGTAATAACATTCAAAGACAAGAGTAGTATAATTTCGATGTGGAAAATAATAAAAACTATTCGGACACGGCTTGTTTTAAATTTTATGATTCAAATTTTTACGAATGTCATTTAAATGGGCACTTTGTACTTAAATATAAGCATGTCCTACGTGTATATAAGATATTCTCATTTTATTTTCCGGTGCAATGGATTTTATTCTGCGAATGTTTTTTGAATGATTATTTATATTTAAATTTTTAAACATGTCCATGCTATTATTTGTATACATTTAACTGCATCAAACAAAAACAATATCCAATTAATGAATGATTATAATTATTATGTAATTAGAAGCTGCAGTCGATGAAACAATATTCTGAAATAATTTGCTTAAAGACTTTAACGCCCGCTGTGATTATACACACACTTTTATATGAATATAAATTAATACGTATTGTTTTATGTGGAACCCATTCATTAAATTCATTCATCTTGTATTATGATGAAAACAATTCAAATCAAAAATGTAAAATCTTCAAAGAGTTTAATACTAAATATAATATTTTTATGGTGGAAATTATTTTTATTGTATCTTAATGAATTTTCGAGGGATCTTTTACTGTGGGTAACTTATATACCAACATAGACTCTTAGAAGAAAGACAATTAATAAATCCTTTAAATTAAATGAGTAATTTAATGTAAGTAAAATTATAAAATCGTTATGATCTCTCTGTATTCGCATGTAAATAGAAAATTTGATATATTGTTGAGTGTTTATTTATAGTGTGTCTAATTTAAATCACTAACTAATTAATTCGTAAACACAATGAAATAAAGCACCGTGCGCGGCGCATTATTCAATTGAATATAACAAGTCATGAATAGATATAGGTACATGAGTACATTAGATTTAGATTTTTATGGTGGTCTTGTAATGATGGAGGGGTTGATGTAGACAAAAAAGTAATTTTCTGAAATTCGGTTTTTAAAGAAAACATACCATTTCACATTAACACTGTTAGACGCAGACGATTAATAATTAATGTGCACTACGCTCATCCACTAAAACTGTTCGAAATACGTAAATAGAAAATAGATGGTCATAATAACAAACTCGAACGTATAATGTTGGTCGATGTCTGCGTGTGGATATATTATAACCATATAACCATATGAATGCAGCACATACGTGCATAATGACGTCACTGGGAAGAAGAGAAAAAATAGCGATACCTATGTATATTTATATACCTATATTTAATATAATATTAAACGGCAACCGGTCTGCATGAGCCACTTGCAATCGTCGCACACGGAGTATTGAATAGACGAATGAAAAATACAGCGTATATACCTATACAAATACCTATGTATATAAGTATACTTGCACATAGTATGTACGTAAATATTAAATATATACATGTATACGAGTATATATAATACACGTATAAAGTATTTTGGTAGGAGTGCGAAAAAGAGGAGGAGGAATACTTTTACTGAATCCGCTCATTGTATTATATACCTATGTGACATACAGACGGGATGAGGTATACCTACTATGTGCACACGCGCACAACATCCGGCTAGACTTATGACACGGTAACCCGGTTCGCGCGCTCGCGGCTTGGACGACGATCCGGACTGTCACTTTTTATCATCCGCGTACTTCCTCTCTCCCCTCCCCCTCCGGCCGTCCACCACAATTCTTTCTAGACACGCACTCGCATTTCTCCTCATACTTGTATGGTAAAGCTTTCCCACCGCCACTACTCCTTCACCAACGGTCTAAAACAAAACATTATAATCACTTACGATTCGTTCTAGACACATACGTGTTTTTAACATAATAGAAAGACAAGTTTTTTTTTTCGTCACAAATATGTCACATATATAATTATCAATATACCCACATACACCCATATACGATACATTTTATTAAACATTTAGGATAAATACTATACAAATCCAATGAATCGCAAATAATTGATTTCAAATACGTCATCATATAACACTATATGACACTATATATAGTGATGTATTACTAATATTTTCAGCAATAAACAAAAACTGTTGTAACACTATCTATATTACTGTTTATTATTATACTTATTATTATACCGCGAGGAAAAACAATTATTCAAGTTAACCTACATATTCATGGTGTCCAGAGAATCTTATCGAAAATCATCTTTTGTGAAATATAAGTTTTTCAGAATAAATTTAAATATTAACAAGTATCTTTGAACTCTTTGTAATGAAAAAATCAATACAACTCGTTTTTACATTGGAACAGTATATCTACGTTTATTACATTGGTTTTCAAAATATGTTTATTGTTTGTTATGTAGGTACTATCAAATTACCTACTAAACAAATGGTTTACAAATAATAATTATTCGTTTATTTTAATTTTTTAAAAATGATATGAGTGATTTTATTAAAATTTTAAGTGTTATTTATTACTTTTCATTAAAAATTATGAAATTGAACTAAAAAAAATTAGCTAAATTAATTTAATGATATATGAAATAAAATAATTTGGTTCGAAAACTGATTAATTAATTAAATTATTAATTTTAACTAAATTCATCAAATTACTATTTTACAAATATGGTAAGGCAAAAATAAGTAGATATATTTTTAACGATTTGGAAAATACCTAACTAATTGTAAAATAACTGTACACATTGGTGTGTTTGATGTTTGTAGGTAATTAAGAAGTTTTGATTTTGAAAGAATCACGAATTTTTCATTTTATAGTTACAATATTTAAATTATTTTAAATCGTAAATTATTTAGACGTATGTTATGTCGAAACAATATTCGATAAGATTCATAAAGTACCCATTTTATTTTTACGATTTGTCTATAATATAAAAACCCGATTTTTTTGTCGAACGGCGTGGATATTTAAAGAAGTTTTACCACTCTGAATGACCTCCTGTCGAGTAAACGGTACTTTTAGAACACACTGTATTCAATTTTGGGTTAATTCTTTTATATCATTAAGAGTTCACAATTCGTACAATTAAATTATCATCCGTTAACGTTATAAACAAAATTACAATTTATTCAATTAGATCGTATTTGCCATTAGGCTCAAGTTGCTATCATAATTGTTTATGAATACATTATGTTGGTTATATAATTTTTATAAAAAATGGGACATTGAACCACGATAATTTATGATTTTAATTTAATCAATTTTAGTTCTAGTTGATGAAAATATTTCCGTTATAATACCTTTTTTTAGTAATTAAAAAATAATTAATCTATCTACAGAAAACCCGTGAGCCGTTCAAAATATACATTTGCAAATAATAGTGAAAACATTAACGTACATACTGTTATGTATTAATTAATAACCACATTATGGTATAGTATGATATGAAAAATTACAGGATTCTAAAGAATATAATTAAATTGAATAAAATATTGTAACCTATTAAGTAAGTTTATTAAAATATACAAAATACGCCTTTATGATAAATAGTAATTACCTATTGTTGATCAAGTATAATTATGAATTGATATAATTGAGAATTAGTAAATATGTTAACGTTATATGTAGATACAGTGTACAGTGTGTCTTGGTTCGTATAACAATAATATTTCACTTTTTTGATCCAATATTGATTATGGATGAAGCATTATGATAACACTTGGTTAACCATAATATGTGCATGTGTGTGTGTCAGTGAGTACTTCAACACGGCATACACATATAGAGAATATAACGTGCCACATTCTCAGCAAACATAACGGTATACACACCTACTCTTCAATTGGTTCTCAAACTAATTAAAATAAAATCCATATTTATGTTTAAATGGCTCATTGGTTAATCTAATCGATGGAAACATATGTGACTATATATGTTTTAGATGAACGTTAAATATATCGATAGGGCTATTTTTAACTATTTATTCCTACGACACGTATGCAGTTTGGATCAATATTTTTCAGGACGAAATAATGGTTCACAAAAAATTCAATGAAATGAAATTTTATAGACAAATGCATTAATAATATATTTGTTGTTGTTTTTGAATTAATGTGCAGACATAAATCACATAGGTATTAAAATTGAATAGAACGCACAGAATAGAAACCACTGGCCGACAGCTATACAGTGGTCAGCCGTTCGACCCACTGGCCCATAACTTCAAGACGCATAAGTACGATTAGTACGTTTATATTATTCCTATAATTCTAGAATTCATCGCCAAAATCGCGTTTACATTGATACATAACAATGTAAGTTAATGAGGTATTAATTGGTTTTACATTAAATTAGAGTTCCATTAAATATATAGTCTAAATATTAAACTTATTGAAGTTTTTCTTTAACATGCACAACATTATTATAATTATTTTATACTTAGAAAAAAAAATTTAAAACCTACCAAAATTAATACCCTCCATATATGCACATCAATTAAATACCTATAAATATACGTCTTAAGTCGTAAAACAGATTTTTTTAATAGTAATAATTGCAATTAGAATTAAATATTGATGAATGCTTAATATACTAGAAAAAATATCAAATTAAGATAAACAATTTTTCCCGGAACCAAAATCTAAACCGGATGAAAGAATCATAGCTAAGATTTTTATCTACATCGCCTTCTACGTGCATTGATAATTATATTAAAGTCACCTGCTGATACGGGAACCTAGGTCCGGGAAGCCGAACACAAACACAACAACCGTATTTTACAAACACGACCAAAAACGCCTTAATTACTGGACTATTATAGTAGTGTGATATTCATTTTGTTGACGAAATATACCCGAAGTCAAATATGTTGGCTATTTGAGGACATAATGTATACTTTGTAGATATATCCTAAGGGCTTGAATATTTTTTTCGATCAACACTCTGTAGGTATCGCATTGGATTACTAAGAAAGGGTAGATCTTAATACACTTAACATAAAGCAATATAAATGGTACGTAATACTGCGGAATATATGAATAATTTGACAGATGGCATTTGCATCTTTTGTTTTGCCAACGTTCATATATAAATATTTTGTTAACAGTTTGACCACATGTTGATAAATCAATAAAGCGTTTAAAGGTAAAATTTGTTTTATAACAAAGTATGGAATTGAATAAATTCGGCCGTTAAAGTCTCCGGTCAAAAGCAATTATTAGTATTACTGCAGATTTTAAAAAATAAATACTATATAGTTATTATACACGGAAATTTTTATATAGGTATACGATGTTATGTACATTCGTGCTGAACATTAATGTTGGTACGTGTAAAAGAAATAATCTATATTCATGCAACTGATATGTTTGACATAAATATATATATATATATAGACATATATATGTATAGGGAAATCATTTGGATAAAAAAAAATTCTATTTTGTATAAGCTTACTGTTGTTTTTTTTGTTTTAAGGTCACGTGTAAAGATCCGGAAGAATGTGTTTTAAGTCACCGACGGAAAAAAATTTAATCCCAAGTTTGTTGATGAATTTACCTGTTGATCATTAAAGGGCGAGTCCTCGTCGACGGTCATTCACCCCGAGTAAAAATTATAAAAATTATAGCTATTTTTCACAAGGTCAAATTTGTTTACCGAGTATAATTAAAAAAAAAAAAAAAAAACTTTTTCGAATTTGTTCACCTGAAAAGACAGAAAAAAATCGGCCGCGGATCTTTTGTGGAACCTAAGTGAGAATCAACTAAAAGGAAGCGAAAAGGAAACTATCGCAAGGAAGTTGAAAGCATACGGGGAAGTGAAAACCCCCGTGGGGTCATATTGCAAATTAAAAATAAACATTCAAAGTGTTCCAGACGTCTTGAGTAGGAAATTCCGAATAAAAAGTACAAATCATAATCGTAAGTATATATTATAGGAGGAAAAGTGCAGAAATTAAAGTTGTGCGTTTGACAAATTCATAGACGTCTGGAACACAGAGTACCTGTGGACACTACGGGGTGATTATGTTTAAGTCTAAAATAATCGAGCTTACTGTTACAGCAATCAAAAAGAATCGCGTGGACGTTTCATAAACAATCGCGGTAGGTATGCGCCTGCAAATATTTGCCGAGTATAAATTTGCTGGAGACTCTCGCACAGACGCAATAATGTGTACGCACTCGTCCAGTCGCACTTCACCACCGCACTTATTAATTATAACGGATAAATAAATGAATACCGATAGCGAAAATAAATTGAAAACAATACACCGAATTAAAGTAATATAAAATCGAATAATTATACTTGTACAATATTTTTATACAACTAAAAAAAAAATGTTTGTTTGTTGAATTGGAGAGACGGAAACGGCGCGGAGAGTATTCGCGCGAGAGACGGCTGGGGCGTTTGTAAATTTAACAGTGTATTGGTCGAAAAATCGTCAACGACTACCACTTGTCGCCGGGCATAAATCCACCACGTTCGGCGCGTCCGCGAGATACTATGCGCACCGAGTGTATTGACGCGTATGCGCGCGTGCACCGGCCGCACAGTTGCGCGGGGCCTCCGCCGGGGGTTCCGTGGGGGAGACCGTTCGTGGGGTGGGGCACGCGGGTTCGGGTACACGTATTCGCGGGCGCGGTGGAAGGAGCTGCGGACCGAAGGCGGTGGTGGCGGCGCGAGTAGTGTTTTTTTTTTTTTTTCTCTAATTTTTTTTTTTCCTTTCCTTTCCCTTCTTTCTTCCCCGCACGCAGATACGCCCGTGTGAGCTCGAGCGCTCGCGTTGAACGCGGTTACAGCGCGCGTATAGGTATATACACCTCCGCGACCGCGTTCTACCTGCTTCGCGGCGGAACCGGTCCCCCTTTTTGGTAGGAGTATCGTTGGCGCGCGCGGCGACGGCGGCGTTACACTAACCTAGTTAAAAAAATACTACGCGCGGCCAATGACGCCACGGCGCGGCGTCTCGACCCGCCGCACCGCGGTCGGTTTACACCTGACGGAGACGACTAGGACTACGACTACGACGACCGGGACGGCGACGGGTGCGGGTACAGAACACTCGCACATAATGAAATATAATAATATGTAATATAATTGTAGCAGCGAAGAATAGCCATGCTCGCGGGGTCGTTTTCCTCCAGAAATCGTCCTTCAACTTGTGCGTTTGTATACGCACCTACTACACCCGTGCGCCGCCGCCGCCGCATCCGTTTGCCCGGGACAAACGACTACTACGTCACGGCAACTACACGCACTTTGCTGTTGCGCAAAACGCGCGTCTTTACTTCGCAAAGGTTTCCTGTTGTGCGGACGCGAAAAACCGCGAATCACGTTCGGGATTTGCATTAATTCGGTCCATAACGCTGGCCACGGAATCGACGCGATTTAGTACGACTCGGACGGTCGCGTTTCCACGCGGAAACTGGTGCCTGGGAGAAAAAAAAATGAAAGTTTTCTGCGAAACCTGCATGTATACCGTCATGAATTCATGCTCGAAAAGTAACCGCATTGCAATTTAATAACGACGATATTAAGAAAAATCTGCGAGGATGAAACGTAGTAAAACTAGTTTCGTCTTCACCTGTAATTTTATGACAAATATTTACACCACAGTGTACAATAAAATAAATATGTTAAACGTATGGAATCGGAAAATATACCGTTTCCATAATTAATACACGCATTTGTTCAATCAAACACCTCACTCAACATTTATATTCATATTTTTACACCAAAGTATAAAAATAATCAAGTGTTTTATACATAGCGACGTTTTTTATCGTTAGTAGATTTTGAACACTATAATATATATAAATACATTTATAATTGTTTGTAAAAATATTCGATAATTTATCGTTAATTCTTTTGCGCGCGCGTTTTAATTATATACACATTCATTAGTGTGGAAATAATTTAAATACACACATTTAATGACAATTTAAAAGTAATATAAATTGTATAGAACAATACTATTTTGTATTAATTTAAACATAATACTTGTGTATAACACCTATAGCCTATAGGCGTTTGAATGTTTCCTAAAATTTTCGGCTATAACGTAAACATTTCTAAGTATAATTTTTTTTTGTGAGTACATAAAATAGAACAATCGAATAATGGATTTTATTGCAATTTGATACAATTTAATATGCAATAACATAACTCGAGTCATTCGACATCCTTTGGCTTTATATTAATCATGTTAAGTTCAGAAGATAACTAAAAATTCAAAAAAAATTAGAATAAAATTCAAAAATAAATATGCAAGTTACACACGTTTAATTTAAAAAATTTTAAATAATTAAAATAAATATGTATGTAAATTGTTATTAATTAAAAACCGGTACTTTTATTAAATTTAACACATACCTAATATAAAAACTATAAAAACTCGACCCTCTGATATAAAATAAGACTAATTTACGAATACTTTAAAGCTTCATTTTAAAGCATGATTTAAAGCTTAAGTAATTAATTTTAATTTTAAATTTACATCGTAAAAATAAAATAAATTTAATTTTAAACTTAATAATATACTTATTATGAACATCATAATAATTTATGAAATATCCAATAAATTAATGTATCTTATTAATCTGCCATAGGCGAAACAGTGTTGTTGACTATTATTATTGTCAACAATACATTTTCATATGGAGTATTTTCCAACTAGGAATTGGGAAAGACAAAAATATGGCCTAATGTGAGAACTACTCACTCTATTATAGGTAAACGAAAACATCTAAGTAATGAATTGTTTTTAAACCAAAGGTTTTAAAATTAAATTAATGTATACTTTAATTATATACATTTAATGACTTATACACATAAAACAATTAGAACATAGAATAGTAATAGAAGTTTAAAGTGATGCGTATGCATAAAATAACTAAAAATAATTCATTATTTAAAGAAATAAAATAAAATTTAATATCTTATGGTAAAAAAATTGTAGCTTATTTATTTGGTTTTAGTTCTAATTACTGAAAATAACTTATTATGTTTATCGAAAATATATATTTTTAATGTCAGAGTAGAACAAATTAATTTTCACATATATATTTATATATATATACTAATCAAATTAACTTTTGGCTTTATCGTTAGTATATTTCATATACTATATATTACACTATTCTATTTATATTTGACTTATTAATTTAACATTAACAATATCTGTATAGAAATATGAAAAAACAGGTATCTCCTATTATCAATAGGTACTTTAAAAATAATCTAATAGACGCTAAATCTTAATGGTTAAATAGTATTCAAAACAACTCTTATAGTAACTCTATATCGGTTAAATACAATTGAGACGTTATTTTTGATAGCATGATTGAGAACGCTCAACATTTAATTTTTTTTCCAACGTTGTCAAATTTAATCGAACGATAATTTGAGTACGATAATCGGCTATCGAACGATTAAGAAAATTATACCTTTTGGCTGAACGATTGATATGGTTGATATTTATCGGATTAACTGGATGTTATTAGTAACTTAAATATCAGATACCTATACGAGATGCAGGCGTCGTAGTCGTCGTAAAAACGTCAATAAAGTATTCGTCAGTTTATAAAATATATTACGTAGCATATTCCTTTTCGTCAAATAATGGAAAATAATGAAATTATACGAAGTGAACGCGGTGAAAATCCAGTATTATTAGTTAGTAATAAATATCATTTTATTCGGAAACGTAAGGACACAAGCAATATTTAGAGTATATTTGAATAATCTGCTATCAGTGGCGTACTCATGTGGGGTCATGGGGTTTCAACCCCCCCCCCCCATTGGCTGTATTTTTTTAAAATTATTCCAATAGTTTAATAATAATTGATTATAATTTAGTGGTTTATACGTCATTAGTTACCAGTATCACGGTTATCAAGTTGGATTGGAGCATGATCATAGAACATGTTCTATGATACGACCGCGCTATCAATTTAATATTTTGGTGACAATTTGTGATAAGGTGATTTTTTAAAACAGTACAAAATTTGTAATTATTATGAATATGGAGGATATGGGGGGCAGAGCCCTCCACTTTTGAATTCTAGTAAATTTTCAGAGCCCCCCCCCCCCATTGAAAATTCCTGAGAACGCCACTGCCTGCTATAAATAATTTATAGATACCTCATTTTTCTTTACATATTTTTTACATATTTTTATAATTCTATATTTTTGAAATTTTTTTAAACATATTTACTTTACATATATATATATATATATATATACGATAAATTATAAATTATATGGCAACGTTGCACATAAAATCGTTCTCAATCGTATTCGTTTTTGGGTTTTTTGGGTCTTAGTGGTAAGTGCTTTGTTAATTTAAAGTGTTCTCAATCATTCGATAGCCCTCTATATAGCTATTCATTAGGTATTAATTATTGGTTTACATCTTATATACATATTAATGAAAAAATACATTTTAAAAATGCATAGTTGTACCTGTGTTAAAAATACATATTTATCTGTAAATACTTGTAAAAATAATTAAAACATACTAGTTATTATCTTTATGTGATATTAGTATTCTTAAGTTATTGTTCTAGTCTACAATTGAATATTTTAGTATAAATGCTTATTGGTAAAATACACAAACAATAAAAGATATTTAATATTCTACATAAATCATATTATTGATAAATCGTCATACTTAAAAATATTATATTCCGCAGGATAATTGCGAATTTTTTTTAATCGTTTATTGGTTAATTTCATTACCGTTAAAGTATATTTTCATAATGTGATTAACACATCATTGAAATCTCTGATGAAAGAAACTGTTCGTAAAATATCTACAACTTCAACCAACGCGTTTGTTGTTTCTTTTAAAATACGATTATAGTAATCATACAATGGATACTTCATATTTATGGGTAATTTATATTAGACATAAACAGTTTAAACACTCGTTCAACTATCAATTTATCATTAAATATTCTATATGTATATAGAATAATATATAAAGTATATGTAATATCATACAGAAGACCGTTCGTTTTCAAGACACGCACACACACAAATTAATGGTGTGTGTTAAATACAGTTATACGTTATGTATAGGAATCATATATTATAGGATACATTTCTATATACATGTGTATACCACCGCTATGGGTGCATGCGTTGAACAGAATGCTCAGTTGGCAGTATATAATCTTCTGCCCCTCGTACAATATATGTAGGTATTCAAGTATACAGAATAACGATAATCGTAGAAGGTTTATGATCCGTTTATTAATATTATTTTAATTAATTCTAAAGGTCATTATTATTATTCCAGAATAAAATAACACACAATATACAAACATAATATTATATATTATACTAAATACATAAAAATTATTAAAAAAAAAAATAGTGAAATAACGTAGATTTAACTTAAAAAATAATTTGTTAGGTGTCAGACAACACGTGTATTCGAATTGTATTTTGTGAAATAATGTATTTATTATAATTATTATTATTATAATTATATTATTATTTATTATACGTGGAAAAAATTTTTTAAAAAAAATATTCAAACGG